AAATAACTGTTCATGTCCCTTGGGACAGCACAGAGTCGCTCCCTCCTGCTAAAGAGGAGGTTAAAGAGCATCTCTGGGCCAGGCTAGCAACCAATGGTGAGTATGAAGAGAGGAGGATAGAAGGGAGGTCAGCAGCAGGCTCTCAGAAGCTGTTTAGCCCACTGTAGGAAATGGAAGGAGAAAAAAGAAGGTAATCCCTGAAGGGAACTTTGCCCAAGGGAGAGGCAAACCACCCTGGAAAGAAAGCAAAAGTGGGCTTATAAGAGGATCATAGGGTGGCTAATTGGGCATCATCCAAGCATAATGGTTCATTTTGCATTTTCATCATATTTGGTGTTATAGTTTGTGTTGGTGTTCATAACGTTTGGTGTTTGGGCTTTGACAGGCTGAAAGCCATGTGCTCCCGTTGACTCCAGCGAGACTGCTCTTACAAAAATAATATCGCACCAAATATTACTCCCTGTGAGTGAGTGCAACAGTTGAAACTGAAGTGCTTTGGATAAGAGATAAGAAGGCACTATTGAAAAGTGCCGCTAATTTTTCTGCTAATTTGTTTTACCATAATAAAATCTATGGTCTGGGACAGATGTTTGGATTCTGTTTCCCTGTATTTATTAGACTTGCTCACACACTAGCATTTCTGCTCCATGGGGGATTTTGAAAATCTGAAATGTGTTTTCGTTCCAATTCAGAACAAAGGCCGCTTGAAATTTCTTGAGAAAAAGAAATAATAATAATAAAAAAAACCATGTTTGAATGATTCCAGGTTCCAGCTTGATTTTTGGCAATGTTGAATTATTTTCATTTTGAATAGCTTAATTTCAATAATGTTCAAGTAGCACAATACATTATATTAACTATATTTAGCATTATATATAATATTAGAATAATATGTTATAATGAAACAAAAACATTAAATTATACTTTAACCTTAAGCAAAATGTTTTGACATTATTATTATATAATTTCATTTCAATAATTAATCATTTTGATCTGTTTCCCAGTAAAAACAAAAAGCTCATAAACATTGACTGGTTCCCAGGAAGTATTTAGATTTTAATGAAATGGTCCCTTCCAATGGAAAGCTGAAGCATCTAAAATGCTTGAACAAGGCTAGAATTTACCATTGCAGCACCCCTGTGAGACTGATAAATACTGATTTCCCCATGTTATGGGATGGGGAACAGGGCAGCTAGATGGCTTGCCCAAGGTCCCACAGAAAGTCTGTGGAACACCAGGGGTTTGAACCCAGATCTTATTCTTAATCTAGTCCTTAACCATTGTGTAGCCCTCCTATCAGAGCTGGTAATGGTCTTTATGGCTAGGGACAGAAATGACACACAAACCGGTGCAAGTGATTGGCAGCCAGTTCAAATCTGTAACACAACAGCAGTTCAGTGCACATAAACAACTTTCAAAATGGCCAAAACCAGTTTAAGACAAACCTGGATGGATGTAGTATCAGACTTCACTATTTAGGTTGAATTGGTTTATTGAACTTCTGTCCCAGACTCAAGTTAACTCATAGTCCACCAGCATCCCAGGATGCTTGGCACCTCCCCTACGCTCCCCCTCACAGGGTGTGTAGGCTAGTCCTGGCCGGTGCTGTCTGCTCCAGCTCAGCAGGGAGAAGCACTCTAGTGGCCCCTGGCGTCTGGTTTGAGTCACTGCAGGCATGTGGCTGCATTTCGAGAATCAAAAATGAACGTCTGTTCGCTTGCTTCTCGGTTCAATCTTAGAGAAACCTGCAAAGATTGAATCAATCCGGCCTCGGTCCTTTTGACTGTCTGTACTTAGCCTATATGTCCAAGTCGTTACATGTTTAAAACTTCTCTTGCAAGCTGCCTCTTTTAAACCCTCCTGTTCTTAAATTTGTCACAGGAATTAGGAGGTGTATCCTGTCCCTACCAGGGCTTTAGGAAACAGAAGAACTTGTCTCTCTAGCGTAAACCCATGAATACTTAGAAATACTGGTTGAATTGTTCACTCTTCCAAACAGTTTCATCATCTAAGACGGCTGCATTGTGAAAACATTTTTGGTGACAGTACATAAGGCCTCACATCAGTTTTGCTATAACGTGTCACATATATCACAACTTGACACTAACATAGCATGATGGAGGAGGTTACATCCCTATAAAGAAGATACACTCTTGATTTAAAGTAACTAGCATCTGGGTTTCATAGACGTGTAGCTGAGGGAAGATTCATTTGACAACTGCACTTGGAAAGGAGAATTGTTAAGTAATTGACATTTCTGGCCCAAATAAAACATTTGCTCTGAACTTTTATTTCTGAGACCTGCATCCTCGGTTCAGATGTCTTTGGAGGATATCTGACAGAAGGATATGTGAGGCTGGCTGCTTCTAATTAAGCACAGAGTTGCCACCTACTTAAGTATGTAATGGGAACAGCATATCTGACATCACAGCAGCTGGGTCCATGGTAAGAGTCTAAAATGAAGTGCTGTTGCATGATACAGACTTCAGGTTGCAGTACACTGGCTTCTTGGCTCAAGAAGCTATGTCTCTGCCAATAGGATAGGCTTGAAATACAGATGAGAAGCTGAAGGGAAGGAGCTTGGTTGGGGCAGGAGCAAAGAGATTCCTGTGAAAAATCATTTGACATAGTTCCCCCCTTGATTTACAGAATGGGATGTACACACACACCACCATGGGTCCATGGGTGATAATGAGGTGTGTATACAGAGGCTATATATCTCTGGGATGTAGTTCTGGCTCCTGGTGATACAGTTCCATGTGAGTTATAGGACCATCTTTCCAGAGAGAGAGGGTCCCTGGAATAGATGATGCAGCCCAATTTTCCTTTTTCTTGCCCTTAGCATCCCTGCAGGGCCATAGAAGTGAACAGTACATATCTCTACCACATCCCATTGTCTTATTCTGTTCTGGTTCCTGGACCAGCAGGTGTCCACAGGACCTGGGGAAAAAAATCGATGATGTGTTATTCAGATAGCTTAATCACCCACCTCTATGGGAAGATGAGAGATCCACATGTACATGCAAGGCACCCTTTGCACACATGCAAGCGCGCACACCCACCCACCCACACGCGCACCTGTAATATGTCTGTGGTTTTTAGTTTATTAACATAGAAAATGGACTTGTACAATAGAAACCAGCCCTCTGTCTAATCTACTATTTACCTCAGCATCCATACCATCCATTACTTAAGAAAAATATACTTCATTTGCAGCAAGACACCTACATAGAAGCATTAGCTATTACTAAAAAGGCAGAAACAGCTCTCTTAGGAATGAATTGTTTTGCTAATCTCCACCCACCCACCAAATCAGAGCACTTCATGGGCTGGAGGAGTATCAGTTAGTGATGTTGCTTCCATTGGCTCATAGCCTTTCCTGGGATGTGGTTCGGATACACTTGTTTAGTCACTCTCACTTCTTTTCTTAAAACTATCTTAGTTACATTGTTCATGGGTAGCTTTGTTGGAAGAAACCTAGAGAACAATTCAATGGCTCATCAGCCATGACTTTTTCCCCAGGGTTTCACGGCCAATGCTGACATTTATTGGCCTTTGATTTTGAGAGAGAGGTTTAAAAATTAGCTATTTTTATTGGATTGGCCAACAGTGATTTGATTTTTTTTTTCTAATGCAGTCTTGGCTGTGATACAATATACTCCCCTGTGTGCACTCTGGAAAGATTTAGGTCATGCTGTCTGAGGAAGAACTAGATGATTTCCAAGAAGAAAACCTGAGGAAACTCTTATTAAATCCAAAAACTCCTTGAAGAGACTTCCTTTTAATACAAAAATAACTCAGACAATATAGTGCCTTTTTACATTGTTTGTTTGCATTGCTTTGCTGTTTAATGGTTCAGTACATAGGGAAGCACAAGACAAAACCCTGCAACATTAAATTGAAAGAGAAAACATGTTTTCTAGGGGAATGATAATAATCTTCTAGTTTCCAAATGCTTCTAAAAGCTTGAAAAAGCTTTGCTAACAGTTCATCCATTTTTTATTAATCTTTTCGCCTTCCATTTAGATGTTGAGTTAGATTATTGATGTTTTCTGGCCTGTCTGACTTACCTCCCCGACGGAGGCACTTTACTTATCTCTTATCCTGGGGTCAGGATACATAGAAAAGAAACAAAGCAAATGAACGAACAAACAAACAAAATGTGGCTGTTGCAAATGTCAGAGTATTTAACCCACTTGGACTTGACAAGATTAAGTTATGTAATGACCTGTAACATTTTTGTCCTTTTTTTGGACAGTTATATATTACGGGCTCTATATGAGCCATCAAAAAGTTCTAGCGCGGCAGCAGATTACTCCTGTCCTTCAAGTAATCAAGGCTGTCGAAATGGTGCAAAAGGGCACTTAGGGAGACTGTTAGGGCTTTGAACTACCTGGATCTCCCAAAGCCTTCAGAGATCATTGGGGATTTGAGTATGCTCAGGGAGGAGCTGCCCTGTTCATGAGCCATCTGAAGATGCAAGGCTTTCCATGCGTTTCTGGAATAAAATGTCTATGATGTGCATTTTCATTTAAAACAAGGCCCCTCCACAATACTCTGAGACTGATAAGGACTCTAAAGCAGGTATATATTGTACCTAAGTGCACTTTAAAGTTTTTTTCCACTGCTGAAGTAGTATAAAAGGGCCTCATTGCAGCTAAGAATTGGCCTGTATAACCTATGTATCCAGGACCCAGTATTTAGCATTATTTTGAGGGTTTGGGCTTATAAGAGCCACAGGAAAGATAATGCAATATTGTCCTCTAAAATCTTAGCGCTAAAAAGAGTCACATAGTTAAGTACATTTACCAGGCTCTGGTTAAAAAAAAAAAAATCATGTCTGGCATAACTATTGTTTGCATGTGTGTATGTGACCCTTGGAGGCACGTCTTTACATAATAGGTATAACTTTGATTGATCACTAGAAAACTCTGAAAAGACAGTGTCATGAACAGCTGATCCACTCTAATTTCTGTTTTTCATCTCTTCCTTCCTTGCAGTTGTGCACATCTCTTTCAAACAAACTGGATCTTCATTTACAGCTGTGTAAACCCCAAGAGGAATGTAATGGATGTCGGACAGAGGACTGACAGTCACCCATCTTTTGAGTAAGGCTGTTTTACTAAATCAGTTTTATGAAGATATGTGCTCCTTTAGACTCATTTTACATGCTGATAAGCCAAATATCATTCTTGATTAGCAGTGATTCAATTTTGGTTAAGTCAGTGGGGTTGCATGGGGATAAATAAGCATAGAGTGTGCCCAGCTGGTTGCTTTTTATTCAGGGCAGAATATCTATTAAGGTGTGGGCATCTTGAGCTATGTAATCTATCTGCATTTTAAATCGAGTATATGCACTTCAGTATTACCAAAGAAAAAAACTCTCAACCACAGGGATCTCTGGAAGGTAGAATTTCATAGCTTAGTGCAAAGATTTGGAAAATGCTATAAAGCTGATTGAATTACTGAAGCATATAATAGGGCAAAAATCCTATGATAGGAGACAATTATTTACTATCCAGGAAGCAGAGAATACCATAAAAAGAGTTATTTTTCCTAATAATTTTTCAATCAAGCCTAATGTTATTGCTTCTGTATAAAGAATGGTTCCTGTTAAACAGGGATCCTAATGTTTCTTGGGTATTAATCACACAGCATCATTGCTGTAGATGGGATAGCATTCGGAAAAAGATCTTCAGGCTCCTCAGAGAACTTGCCTTGGAGTTTCTGTACTATTGGTACCTCTGAGACAGACATGGTGCCCATGTGCTGTCTTGCTGATTATGCCAAAAGCTTCTGATATCCATATTCCTATAAGTATTTTTCTGGTTATTTTATTTTATTTTATTTTATTTTATTTATTTATTTATTTTTTTTAATAATTTTTGATCATCTCTCTCTCTCTCTTTCTCAGTCTATGTTCTCTGTACTTTACTTTGGTAGATTTTTCTATAAATTAGGGGTGGGCAAAATATAGCTCATGGTCTGGATCTGACCCACCAAGTGATTCTATCCAGCCTGCAGTGGGTGCTTCAGTCCCACCTGGCCCTTACATGGAGGGTATCCCAGGTTCATGTGGCTAGTCCTGCCACCCCCAGGTACAGAGGTGCCACCTGGCACAGAGCGCAGCCCTATCCCTGTGCATGGCTCTTGGGCACACTGGGAGCTGTAATCCACGGGGCTAGGTACTGGTTGGAGTGGGGCAGCAATGTAGTTGGACTCAGCTTCCCAGAAGCCCCCATGATAATGGTTCACTCTGCACTCCCACTTCCAGCTGCTGCTGCCAGTGTCTCCACAGCCAGGCCCAGCCATCTGCTCAGACATCCTGGACTGTCCACCCTGTACCCACCACCAGAGGCACTGGGAGGAGTGGGTGGGTTGGGTCCCCATGGAGACTGGGGCAGGGACCCCACAGGCAGGGCACACCTGGCTGGGTGGATGGTCCTGCCTACCAGTCCTGCTCCCGGACACTGCTCCCCAGCCCCGCTTGGCCCCATATCATCTGCTCAGCTGAGCATGCCCTGCCTGCAGGGGTCCTGGGCTGGCCTCCATGGAGACTATGCCCACCTGCCCACTCCGTCCAGCACACCCAACAGTGGTGAAGATAGGATCAGTTGATGTGTCCCTGACTTTCTCCCCCCCCTCTCCCGCTACCGTGCCAGGTGGTGTAAACCCAAGATTGGGGAGCCAAGGCTGGGTCATCACCCCCCTCCATACCCTGGCCCTCAACAGCTCACCAAAACCAAAACTCCTTAAGAATCCCTCCAGCCCAAATAATTGCTCACCCCTGCTATAGATGCTATTATTACTGCCTGGCACTTTTAATTTTCCATCGGTGATTGGTTTTTCCTCCTCTGCAGAGTAAGTCAGTGTTAGTGTTTAACATTAAAAAGGTTATTTATTGTGATAGCCTTTGAAACCCCAGTCAGACATGGAGCCTGCATTTTGTGCTCAGTGCTGGAGAGACAAGGTGAGAAACAGTTTTCTAGTTGGATTGGTAATCAGAAGTCTAGGATGGAGCTAAGGCAAGACACTCCAGACAGTGTTAGTCAACAGCACGCTCAATGACCTTCAAAAGGAGAAGAAGGGAAAAGGGGGTCATGACTGTTTTTAGGCTGGGGCCAAGCGAAATGAAAAAGGAGGGAGCAAAACCAGTAGTTGAGGACATCAGTCTGGTCAAAGAACCATGATGAATGGACCACAGGAAAGGAGGGGAGGTGATTCAACTGACTGTATCACATCATCCACGTCTGCCCTGCGTAGGATTATCTGAAATGGTGGGTCAGCTCTAGCAATCCTGTTACATGGGGCATCCTTTCTTATCACTCTTGACCCTGTTTTAGTACTAGGTGGGGAGAGTTTAAGATGTGGGGGGGTAGGCTTATGCATACACAACCTTCTGGTCTTGATTGGAGTGTAATATGAGCACTGCTTGAATTTTGCCAGTGAAACTTGTGACATAATAGAACTTTTAAAGTATGCTTTGAAAGATGAGGAGCTTTAAGCTACATTCCTAAATCTTTATTTCAGCACCTAAATAAATGGCCGGATCTTCAAAACCACTGAGCAGTCTCATTCCCACTGAAATCTTGGCCTCTGCACACGTCACACAGATTGTAAGCTCTTTGAAGCGGGGCCTCTCTTTGCCCTATGCTTGTATAACACTTAGCAGAGTGTGTTGTTAGCCCACAATTGGGACCTTGGGGTTGACAACAGTACAAATAATAAAGGCTATGATTTTTTTTTATTTTTGTTTTGTGATGGTCACAGACACTCTGAATATGAAGAAATTGATTCTGGAGATCCAGCATGCCACTCAGAGGAGAAAATACAAAACACGGTAAAAATGACTGTGGCAGAATCATAGCCTTGATAATAACCTATGATGATGACGGTGATAAAGGAAACCAATATGATGTATTTTCAGTCCCCCGTTTAAAGGAGATCATCTAGCTTTGCTGTTATTATAGCTCCTGAAGAAGGGCTAAAATGTAATCAGTATGTAATGTGCAAGGACAGAAATGTCATAGAAAAAGACACGTCCCCATATGTAATATATCATCTTCTATTCTTTATTTTTTTGACAAATCATATGGCACAATGTTATTAATTCCATCTATAAAAGTGTAGTATGATGCAGTAGAAATACGTTGTGAGAATTAGATGAGAGGGTTTGCAGGTGGATACAATTTAAAAATATTTAGCTAATGGATCTCTTTTCTTTTCTTTCTGGTACAATGTTAATGATAATTTGCATTCAAAGGTCTTCTTGCCTAGGGTCCTTAATTTGTGTACTGCACCAGACATTCATTAAAACCCTATGAAATACAGACAACTCCACAGAAACTTGCCCACCAAATTTGACTCATCCTACAGATGGTACATACAGGTTTTAATGACATGATTGCAAGTTCTTGCCATGCCTTATATATGCAAATGAATCTGTCACTACCAATATTAGCAGGCCTGAGGTCTTCCCTTTTCAGGTCCATGGGGATACATAAGTAAGATGTGCAGAATCAAGCCCCTTCCTGTTTCAGGTGTACTAAGAAATCAATAGAAATTTGGGGTATGAAACTAATGCATAGGTGAGTCCCCGCTCCTGAACCAGTGAAAGTGTAAGCCTAAAAGGAGTTGACACGTTATTTAAGCAGTTGGGGTGTGGAAGTCGGTGACAAAAAGATGGAAGCCTGTCCTCGGGTGCGCTTGGTCAGTTGTTAATTTCTGCAGTCTCTTGTGGAGCGTTGGGGAAATTTAAATATCCAAGTCAAGTGTCATTTCTGTCAGAAATAATAAGTAATGCAATTAACTCCAAGAGCTGGAAGGCATGTCCTGTACATCAATGTAAAAACTTAATTGTAAGACACAACAATATAGAATTTAAAAGAACTGTATACAGTCTGTTGATTTGTATTCTCCTTTTCATGGCCAGTACAAATGTATCTAACATTACATTTTAAAATTAGTTGTCCTGTGAAACAGTCACCATTTCATTTTCTTAATTTACTTTGCGAGTAAAAATCTTCGCTGGCGCTCTCTGAAACCGAAAGCTTCATTTCCATTCCTGAATGGAATTAAATCTATTAAAAATTCAAATGCATGCAATTCACGTGTGTATTTTGAGACGGTTGCATTTTTGGAAATTAAAATATTAATGATTCAAGTTAATTTGATTGCTCTTATCCACCTCTGTCTTAACAAAGACAAAGAGCTCTTCCAAGGGCTCAGCTCACAAGAATAATGCAAAACCAATTTCAGAACACTGCTTCTCCACATTATAAACAAGTCATTGAACAGAAACTTTTATTCAATTTTTGATGAGTCACATCTTGTGATTTAATGTCACAAGGCATCAAACATAAAAAAGTCTTGTTGATGAAAGGGGGAAAATAGGGGGAAAGGAAACAGGTCAGATTCTCAGCAAATGTAAATTCTTGTAGCTTAACTTTTGTACATCTGCACCCACTTACCTCAGCTGAAGATCTGGGCCTATTTTGTTTAACATTCTCGACAATGCTCCCCCATGTCTTCACTCCTTTTTGCTCCTGGTTTGTTTGCATCCAACATAGATTTGCTCTCTCTACGTCTCGGGAAAATCTATAATGTATATAAATTATGCACAGTTTTTCTGTGGTTCAGTGACTCCATCTTACACGACAGCATTAGCTTTTGTATGGAGTTGAATGCTCCTCTTCATTATTTGTGGTGAATTAGCATCTGTGTGTGTGGCACTTGAACTGTTTCTGGTTTTCTTTTGTCTGGCTGCATTCTGACTTCTGCTAGGCATGGCGGGTGATGGCAAAAATATGCTGGGGTTTTTTAAGGCATGGAAGCTTTAATCAACAATGGAGTGGTTGCACTTGCTGTGCATGAAGCACTGCTGTTCATAGGGAGGACAAGTATTTAGAATTGGGACAAGCAACCTCACCTCTAACCAAACAGCAGGCGTAAAGGCTTCAATTCAGTCACTGATCCCAGGTTCAAAATATGAGCACCCATCATAGCCAGCACCCCAGGGGGATGTTGCTGCCAGTAGGGGAGAAATTGAGCTATGGTAATGATGCTAACAGCATCTCTCCTTTCTTTTTTATCAGTTGGTTGGAAGGAAAACAAGAAGAGAGAGTGAGGGACAGGATCCAGGGGATACCAGGACAGAGAAGAGTGGCAGGAGCTAAATACTTCTCCTTTACTCACAGTTAGAAGCATTTCTGCTGCTGCCTTGAAGCAAGGGAGTGAATGACTTGGCAAATACTTTCTCATGTAGGCAGTTAAGCTTCATTGGCTCCCTCGCTCACCAGCTCCTCTGAGAGAGAAGATCTGGAAGGTCCAGAGCCACATTTAGCCAACAATTGACATGGGCTAAGCAAAGGCAAGGGGGCTCAGGGGTTGGGGAAACTATCAAAGGGAAAGGCGAGGCAGAGGTAGCTTCTGTCTCTAGGGCTGCGTCCAGATGATGATGGACATGTGGTATGTGGCACCACAGACCTCTACACTGCTACCTTGCAGCATGGGGTGGGGGTTGACACTGGGAGAACCTAGGGTCAAAAAACCCACACCAAAAAAAAAGAGGGACAGTGCACACAGCAGCAGTGTGTGCTGCCCCAAACCAGAGGAGGCTGGTTTGGGGCAGCACACCGCTGCAGCTCCCTGAGGCCCCCAGGACCCCAGATAAGGGAGCTGGCCCTAGCCTCCCCTACCCCACCTTGAGAATCTGCCATGTGCCAGAGGGCATGTGGCACAGGCGTTCCCTGGGGACAAGTAGCAGCGGCACAAAGTGTGCTGCTGCTACTTGTCCCTGGAGAAACAAAATCTGTGCTCATCCAGATGTGGCTTGGGAGGTGGGTCTTGTTACAAACCTAGAGAGAGGAACTGCAGACCTATTAGAAAGTGTAGAGAGGAAAAAAAGGTCTGATAAGAGAAGGGAGAAGCAAAGGAGAGGGTAGGGAGAAAGGTAAGCTCCAGATGGCTAATGGATTAGGATAGACATTTGGTATCAATCAGAGGAAATGGAAAGTACAGAGAAAGCAGGACATTTACTGATTGCATTGAGTAGCAAAGGTTTAATTTTAATTTATACCTCAGGGGCTAACCCATATTTTTCTACCCTGCTCATGGTGGGTTTGGAATCCAGAGTTTAGATGGGGAAACCTGGATGCCAGTCAATGCTACTAAGCTTATTTCTGCTTTTTTAGCTGAATCGAATGTAAAATGAATAAACAGCCTGGGCAGTAGAGACAAGAACCAGGGCTTCCCTCCTTCTAGGGGAGTCCCATTACCACGTGGCCGCAGGGGCCTCTTGTTTCCTTTTCTGTAACTCTTCTATTCTTGGCTGAGCGGTGGAAGGATGCCCCCTTTCAGCCTGATTTCTGTTTGATTATTAGGGCACTCTCCTAATGGGTGGGAGATATGAATATGTTTATCCTCAGTCTGCATGGGGCCTAGAACAGGGCTCCCACTTTCTGAGCACATGCCAGAAAAGCAGTAGGCCATTATGCAGAAGGTGATAACCACTGGCTCCAGCACCACTACCTCTACTGCCATCACCCCTGGCTGTGTTCCAGAGTAGCTGTGGGTGCTGAACTCAATGCTGTCAATGGGCATTAGGCATTGTGTATGTGTGCCCCTTCTGGGTTGGACCTCTCCATGGACTTAGGGGCAGGGCTGTCACAGCTGAAAACCCTGAATGGGTTCGGACACCTAAATGTTTGGCCTCATCAAGATGGCAGTAGTCGTGGGACTGCAGAGCAAGTGAATATCAAGCACCATCTCCAGTTTTCGCTTGCTCCCCTATGGCCTATTAGTTTCCTAAATGGTTAAGTGGGGCTTTCTGAAGCACTCACTTGGACTTAGTTACCTTTCAGGAAGAAATTAGGCATCTAAGTCCTATTTTGGATCTGGCCTTTAATCCTTCTACTCTCTACTTGTACAATGGAAATAAGAGAACTTTGCTACTTAAGAGCTGTTGCGACTAGAGCCCAGCAGAAATGCAAAATTCTGTTTTGTGAAGTATTTTGAAGTTTGTACCCTCAGTTCATGTTACATTGCAGTACAGCCTAGGTTTTTTTCCAATGTTCCTTTAAAAATGAGTTATGAAAATGGAGAGGAAGGCACTCCCTAGAATAGCCAAGAACCTAAGGTATGACACTTTCCTGACATGCGAAAGATACAGGGTCAAAGTCTCTATTCTGATTGTTGTAGAGCAAGGGCTTGAATTTTGGTCCCTCTGCCTCTCAGGTGAGTGGGACATTTATATGTGGTGGAGGAATTATAAATTGAGTCTTTTTTAAAAATCAGGGCAATAACCACAACTGACTACTGAAAACAGGACAAAATGAGTCTTTGTAGTTCAGGTCTCAAAGAACTCTCCCTTGGGAAGTGCAGTGCAATCCTCTGCTTTGGACCAGACATCCTGTCCTGAACCTAAACATTTTTACCAAAGAAAACTTTCTCCAAGTCATTATGTTTCAATGGAAAGCTTTGGTTTCTGGCTTGGAATTTTCTAATGCGATATGTGTGATTGACAAATTCTCAAAGAGCTCTAGTTGAGAGGAGTAATATATAAAAGGGACTGCTCCTTTCAGCTCAGTGAAAGGATGGCAGTAGAAGGATCTTGGATTTTAGAAGAAAGTATATATACCAGCGGCTTAGCACTTCCATAGAAGACAGACGACAAGAATACCTTCAACATTTGAATGACTATTTGCTTCTGCCCAGAATCTAGGAAAAAGATTTTATTGCCTTTATTGAGTTATGAAAAAATAAAATTCATACAACTCAGGTGTCACAGGGGAGCTTTTTGTGCAGTCGTTGGGAAATACTGTAATTGGAGTCCTTCAAAAACAATGGTAATATCCAAAATCATATTATTGAAAGTGGAATCAAATGAGATCATCGTGCAGTTCAAGTATCCGAGAGCTCGTTCCTTGGCGAGTCAAAGTTATGGGAGAAAAACAGTTTTGAAGACCTTGGAGGAAAGGTTATGGTGCAATACTTTTTATAGGTCAGTCCCATAAAGACCGTTTTTTCCCAAAAGG